GGCTCTTATGGGTTCAGACTTCATGATTTTCATGGGTCAAGAACCTTTTACCATCTTAGGCACTTTTGACAGGAGCTTACAATTCCATTTATCCTAGCCAGCACAGTCAATGATTCATTGAGGGATCATGGGAGTTGTAGGACAAACGATCTGAAGGCCACAAGATGCCCACCGCAATTTCTAGTTTGCATGTTGCTGAACCACTATCTTGGAAACATGTAAATAAAATTAAACTGCAATGTAAATATTTTCTGGGGATTAGATCTAAACTTTTCAAATTGTACAGTGTTTATTCAGTCTGTAATAGGGCAATGCAGCTGCTAAATCCATGAAACCAAGTTAGAATGCTGTCCATGATACTCAGCCAAAGTCTTCAAGTACATTACTTTGAAGTCTACAAGAACCATGAGCATGCAAGAAAGCACACTGAGTCAAATGCCAGTTGCTTTGCCTGCAAAACAAACAAACAAAACAAAACCATGCATGACTTAATACAGAACAAGCTTGTATCTAGCTCGCATATGCATGAACAGGACAATGTTAACAACCAGATTCTGTTTTCCCTCCCAGACAAGCAAGAAAGTAATATTCCAAGTTCTTTCTCTAAACAGGGGAAGACAAACTCAGCTGACTAATCTTAAAAGCACCAAGTCTCCAGCTTGGTTTAACCAGATTTATACAAATGAAGTCTATGAGTGGAAAAGGTCCCCAGATAATCTGGATCTCCCGTGTGACTGTTATCTCCTATTCTAATGAACATCACACTATAAAAAACCCCTTATATGTCCATAATATAGGGTATGTAAGAGAAAGCAACAAGTATGATTGGACCAGGAATCTCTGGAATAGCAAGGAAGGGATAGGCAACTAGCACAGTGCAGAATACTGTGCAAAACAAAAACAAAAACAGGGCTGGATTTTAGTTTGGTTTTAATTCTGGAAACAAACAGGGTTAGTGCTTCACTTTTATTGTAACTATACTCCTGATCAAATACGATTATTTGTGCAATACAGTTTCGTGCTACTGTTATGGATGTATGATTGCCTGAAAAGTAATCTTAACAGGTACAGTGAGACATACAGGTGTTTTCAGTTTGTGCTAAAGCAGTGAGCTGATAATATTCTCATTTGCTTTGATTTACAAAGTCACAAGGATGCATTTCTGATTTTTAGGCTAATTGTTCCCTCTACTTTCTCTGATGCCTGGTCTCCCAGCTCTGACATTATCTTCACTGGTTTTCCCAGGAACGCTAGAAGCAGCTATCAATTAGTGGTGCAGCTGTTGGTTTGGTTTGGTTTTGTTTTGTTTTAAAAATAAATATGCTTCCAGGTTCAGTTTGTGGTGTCTCCAAGCCAAAGCATCTCAAATAGGATTGCTAGGAGAACTGCTGTTAATCGGGATAGACAGCACTCACTTGGGTATGTTGCAGTTTTAAAGATACACAATTTGATCCAAGGAATGTGGCCAACAAAAGACAAAGACTGCCAACCCTGCCATAAAAGCATACCTGTAGAACTATTCTGATATGTGATGAATGAAAAAAAATGTGGATTGCGCTCTAAAACAAGGGATACCATGGCTGGAATTGTATACATTTTAGTACTTTAAAAGGGAAGTGCTGTATGTCTTGACAATATCAAAGCTTTCTTAGAAGAAACAGTTCATAAAAGACTAGCAAATAAATGTCTATTTGGAACCTCCCAGGTGCAGAGCATTTTCAGAGATGTTTAAAGTTTCAAAAGGCAGAGGGCTAACATAACCTTTACAAGCCCAGGTTTAGGGAAACTTTTCAAACACTTTCACCTCTCACAGAGAAAGGTCCTTGTTCATCAATCAGTCCCCCAAACACCTGTGCACTCAGCCACCAACCCCTTCAGGTATGCTGACAGTATTTACATATCTTTTGTGGTGATATACGGTAACAAGGAAACCCAACACTATGGCCTTCAAAAGCTACCAGAGTCCAGACAATGGCCAAAATACACACATGAAACAAATCACATCACATTTTTCCTGAAATTCAAGGCACAAAGCAACCATTTGGGAGACCAAATTACTAGCCAGTCACTTCGTGGCACTTGGAGGGTAAAAAGGCAGGCACATTATGTGACCAAGTAAATATTTGCAGTTGGAGAACTGCTAATGTTTGCACTCTTTAGAGTATTCTTTACACTCCAGATGAAGTAGCACAAAAGGAAGAGTTTAAGGTCACTACCTGAATCTTACACAAGGGCTGGCAACTACTCAGAATAACACCGAAAGATTGATTTTAAAAAGGTGTTTTAAAAATGAGATGACAAAAGCAAGTTCAATCCACAAGAACATGGGTGCTCAGACTACGGCCCACGGGCCTCATACAGCCTGCCATGCCCATTTATCCGGCCTGCCTCAGAGGGTTTGGACATGCTGCACCCGCCACCGCCCACCTCGCCCCACGCACAGGGAGGTGGGGGCTTGCTTGCATGGAGACGGTCTTGGACATGCTCGGAGAGAACCACCTCCAAGTGAGTAAGCCCCTGCCCGCACTCCCACCGCTGCCCTGCAGCACGCCCCTGCCTCACCCGCGTGCCCCGCATCTGCCTCCCCTCCCTTCCCCTCCCGTGTCCTCGCTGGCCCAAGCACGCCACGCGCGCCACTGGCACCTTTCGACTAGCCCTCTGTTGAAAAAGTTTGAGGACCGCTGCACAAGAACATCCTGAATTTATCTGAATGGAGAGAATCTGATCACCCCCCGAATCATAAAGATTATGGAAGCAGAAATTCAAAATTGATTAATGCAATATATTCTTGGCATAACACTCCTGTCATTTATTTCACTAATTGTACTCATGCAATTAGCAGGTTTTATATGGCAATTGCAACAATTTTTGGAATAGACAAGGAAAAAAGGAAGAATCATTTAAAATATATAAAAAGCAATGTCTTTAGTAACAATATTGATGAAAACCGTACCTAAGGTACCCCCTGAAAATGTGGCTTTTAATCAAAAATGTTAACTCATTATGTTTGTGACTGAAAAGTAGGCATATGATTTATATATATATATATATATATATATATATATATATATATAAAATGACTCTATATATCTCTATATATGAATGAATCTTTAGATGTCAGTCCACAAGAGCTCCTTTCAATTTTCTTTAGATGAGTAAAAAACACAATTCACATACAAGTTCTGCATTTTTGCTCCAGGTGGGGAGTTTATCCTGCACCTATGGAGGGATGTGCATGGCTGATGTTTGCTTTTCAAACATCAGATGCACTGAGAAAACCCACATGAGACCCCAAGAAGCCCTGTATAAAGAAACAGAAATGGGTTTACGAAGGACCAGACTGTACTCTACTCAGTATGTCATCCTTATTGTACCCTAGAGAGGTGTACTCTCCTGAACTTGGAGACTTACACACATTGTATGAAAAAGCAGGAGGAGGGGCAATTGGGAGTTTTGCTCCCCCCTGCCTGCTCTGCATTAGAACAAGGTGGCTGGTTTTGGTGGTCGCGCTGGGGTGCTTCTGAAGAAGAGAGAAACCAGTTGCAGAAGACATAGAATGACGTGGCCTCAGCAGTGTCCTCCACTTACGCCCTCCAAAAATATCCCTTTATCGCTTCCCTGAGGCGACTTTCCCAGCCTCAAAGTGGCAACTGGGGGAGTTGTTCTGTCCTGGCTGTGAGCAGGGAAGTGGGGTTGGAGGGCAGATTTCGAGCTCTGAGGTTTCTGCCCTTAGATCTGAGAACCTGAAGTATTCTACATCCGTTGCCCAGATGGTGTCTAGGTGACACAGGATCACTCCCTTCCATGTATGACTTGGCACTGCCTAATTTATTTTTTAATTCTAAATAGCAGCTGAAAAAGGAATACAACACTAAGGATTGGGGCCACAGAACGGGGCGTTCCACCCTTTCCTCCTGTGTCATAGTCATACCAAAAATCTTTCTTCCTCCCCATGCTAATCCCCACAAGAGGGAAGGTATCATGGGCCATTCCAAATTAGGAGGGTAATCTTTGTTACTCTTAGAGACATGATTCAAGAGGAAAGCATTAACCCTGAGCACCACCTCCATGACTTCCCAGAACTGCTTTATAAAAACACCCATTACATGGTGCCAAACCATGACACCATAAGGACGTTTGATTTAGACTAAAGCAAGGGTGTGGAACATGCCACTTCCTCAGTGATGTTGGACTACAAAACCCATCATACCCAACCATTGGACATGCTGGAAAAAACTGATAGGAGCCTGAGTCCAACAGCATCTGGAGGGGCACCATTTCTGCCCTAAGGGGGAAGCACTAATTGCGTACTGGTACAGCTGTCAGTTCAACATCTAAAACATTTAAGGAAAGCACATGGAATGCTGGTACAAGAAATGCAGCTTAACCTCAGATTAAGAGGTCATGCAGCCTATCATCCTGTTTCCAGTGATGGCCAAACCAGGTTCCTTGGGGAAGCCCACAAGTGGGATATGGAAGCAACAGCTCTTCCCTGTTGTTTGTTCCCCAGCAACTTATGTTCGAAAGTATTATTTTCTATCATGGCTATGGAAGAAATTTATTCAGCTTCCATTTTTCTATGAGCTTGCCTACTTTTTAACTTTAAAATGAATATGCAAACCAAAGTTTGGTTCAGAATTTGCACTTCTCCAATAAAAACGGGTGCAACAATACAAATATATTTGCTTGTTAAAACAGCATGTTAGCCAGTACTATGTACAAAATGCATTTATTAGGAGAAACATTCACAAAAATGCAAAAAATACTTAAGAAAACTTAATTTTAAAAAACTTAGTATTTGGAGGGAACCGAACTTAGAAGAGTAAGAACCCAAAACTGATAGATTGGCCCACCCCTACCTTAGCTAATGGCCTTTCAAAGACCAATCCTTCATTAATTTATCTCATTTGCCTGCCAATTGGTCTTGGACAACCATCACACACTGTGGCAGCAGATGCCATGTATTACTTATGCACTGTGTGAAGAATTGCACCACTAACCTGCAGGTGTTGTTTTTTGAGTTTTCTGGACAGTAGTGGTGGCAGTGGCACAACAGCTTCTTCTGGGGAGGGGCAGCTGCTGTACTTCCACCATCTTCCTTCCGGGTTTCCATGTTCACTTTCCCAGAACTCCTCAGAGGCCTACTGTCTAGGACGTTTGCTGCACAAAAAATGGAACACAATAATAGTAAGTTGCTGGGCAGGGGTGCCAAGGCTTTTGTTTTTCTAAGCAAAAAAGTGGGATCACCCACAGCAGTTCCGTGAATGACTTGTGGAGCTTAAAAATCGCCTACATCTGATTAGGCAAGAATGGACTGCTAAACTGGAAAAGACTGGGTTTCTTCAGGGTCATTGATGTGCCACAGACAAATGCAGACTTATTACCCTGGTGGATTATGGAAAAAAATTGCAAGCTAGTTTTCTGACCGTGTTAGCACCATCTTTGAAATCTTATGTTCATGTATTCATTGAATAGTTCTGCACACACAGCTACAGGATCTAGCTTTTTAGTGACAATCTTCTCCCTGGTCTGTACTGAAATATTTTTGTGGTATCGAGGTCATGCTGTTATGCCCACAGAACAGCATTGTGGGAGCCACAAGATCTCCGTGGATCTGTCCATGAAGAAGGAACCTTCCAAGCTTCCTCACTGCAGTTGCAGAAAAGCTGACACAGTAGCAGCTACAATGGCAGTTCGAGTAAAAAGGTGCCTTCTAAGTGGTTGCTTTGGATATGCCAAACACAAAGCCTTCCCTTTTCTCCTGCATGACCCAGGACATCAGGGAAAGGGCATCAACCATGAGCATGCCGTAAAAACCAATGGAAAGGAAGATTCCAGGTGGGAAAGGGGTGTGAAGAAAAGGTAGCCCTGGGCAGCCCGAGCCTTGAGTTGGTAATGGGTACACTGCATGCTTTACCACCTGGGATTGTAGGATTGCACTCACCAAATTATTATTTATTAACTAATTATTTAATTTAATTAATCATTAAAGCTATTTATTAACAATAGCTCAGATCCTACTTCTTATTCTATCAACAGAAGGCACTTTTCATTTTCTTAGTTGCCTTTTTTCTTAAAAAGACCCAAAGTGACGGCACCAAATTATTAAAACTTAAAACAGCTTTAAAAATTCAATTTAAACACTAATACATTACATAAATACATCATAAACAAACACAGGAAGCACTTTTAAGGCAGAATCACCCACTTGTACATTGCTGGCTACTGGAGGAAATTTCATAAAGGACAAGGTCCATCAGTTTTGATAAACTGCAACCAGACACAATAAAAAGTTTGTCCTGAAGGGAAAGTTATCAGTGCCAGGGTGCAATTCAACATCCACATCCAAAGGAATATAACTTCTATCATACTTACATGAGAGTAAAACCAGCAGTTTATATAAAGAACTCAGCATCAAATATTTAGTATCTCAGTTTCCCTTATGTCAATTTGATATGTTCACCTATAGGTTAATATTCAGGCACTAAGCATTCTGACAGCATTTGACCAAATTTACATGTGGTATAGTCCTGTTTGGCTTCAGCTTATAGTTTGCATGCCTGAATGCTCACCTAACATGGAACATCATCCCATCAGTTTCTAGCATTCCATTTTCCTGCAAAACATGCTAGTTTTCCATGGCATGAAGGGAGACCATTAAGATGTGAAATATTTTTTATGCAGTCTTGGGACAGATCTGTATAATGTGATACTTCTGAACACATCATTCAGTTCTTTGCTGGGAACTTGTTCCCCCTCATAGGAGGCACTTGTTTGGGTTTCATGGTGGTGGTGGTAGAAATGTCTAAAGTTTGATATTATTTTAGACATTGAGTGCATAAAAGCTTCAGGCTAGAAGCAACAACTACAAATTTGGTTCTAAATTTTTATTTTCTTTTATAACATTTCTTTTAGAAAAGCACTCTCTCTCTGGATTATTTTTGCATCAGGATATTTTAAAATCCAGCCTACATAGAGCAACTTCACATCAACAGATGTTCACTTTCTGGGTTAGTGGAACACAGTCGTATAAAATTAAGCTCCCCTTTTCAGCAAACGGACTGGGGTTGTGATGGAGTTACATTGTTATTCATGGCCAGAGAATGAACTTTAAAAATGTTCTAGGCAGAGGTTTCAGACATTTGGCTCAAAGAGTAACAAAGTTAAATAAAATATTAATAGTTAAGAAGAATAAAAAAATACCAGGCTCTGTTTTCATCTACCATAACACTTTTGCAGTTATAACTAACTTTTCCCAACTTATGCTGCTGATAGTATAAACTAGCTCAATCTGTCTTCCTTACCGCACAAACACAGGAAATAATTTGGGACTCAATCCAGTGAAAGTTAGGACCTTTTAAATCCCATGGATTGAAGTAGAGTTTTAATGGAAAATTAAGGCCCATTAGTTTGAAAGATATTTAAATAGATCGTAAGTTTGCCTCAACCCTCACATTTTACGTTCTCTGTCCTGGCACTGTTGCATATTACCATACTTGCATGCTGAAAAGCTCAGTTTCAGCCTCCAAACTTTTTTTTTTTTTTTTTATCAAAGAGCATCAGAAAATACCTCCACTATAGAGCTGAATAGGCAAGAATGCAATCAACTGATTACATTGGAACAAGTCAAATTACATCCTAAAAATTACTGCTTTTATGGGAAAGGGAAGTATTAACTTTTTAAATACCCCATATTTTTCAGGAATCAAAAAGAAGAGCATCCCCGGGCTATTTTTGGCAACTAATCAGCAATAGAACAGCAGCACTAACGGAAGCGGCAATGAATTACTGTCTCAAACTACAGCTCCAATCTACTGGATAAAGCAACACAGAGTGGGACACTAAAACCAAAGTTCCACTGATAAGACTTTATTAGCCATTGTCATGTACTGAAGGAGGCATAGGCAAGCTACCCTTCCAGGATCCAAATAATGATTAAAGTGGAAAAGATCATATATAAGGATGCTATTCTACATGGAAGTATGGATTAGAAAGAGAGTGCCAAAAATTTATCAAAATTGCAATGAAATCCCAATTAAGTCAAGGATCTGTCATGCTGTTTTGGATAGGAAAATGTTAATACAAGGCAAGCTTTAGCAGGAATGTTGTTCCCCTAGAACACTTACATATAGAAGGTAAAACAGCCCAGCACAGTTGTGATTTAGCCGCAGTAGCATTACATCCGGAATCCTTATTCATCAGAATGTACAGGTGACAGAAAAACAGGAAGAATTCACTTATCAGATGACAGGGAACAAGACGGGTGAAGCACAGTGCATGAGTGCATAGCCTACCTGATATTGCTTTAAAACGCTGGAGGGATACACCAGAACAACATCCAACTGAATCAGAAAACTTTTGTAGTCACCAGCAAGTTGGAAATGCAAAGCAACAAAATATTCTTTTTTTATTAAGATGGCAAAAATTCACCTAATGGAGAACGTCTAAGATTGCCACAAGTACATTAAGGCAATTCATTAAATAATGCATTTTGTGGCTTGGAGATGCTTAGAAATCCATCTTCATCGTTAGAGGCACAAGTGTCTTGTGTCATGGAGCACCTTTCACCAGCTTAGGCAGGAATACCAGCTATAGTCCTTCCTGGATACAGACAGCCTGACGTCAGTAATCTAGCAACTACCTATTTAGATTACTGCAGCACACTGTAGGGCTGCCCTTGAAAGAAACTTCCATGAATTGAAAACAAAAATAGTGGATAAGGTGCTTACTGGAATTGGGTGTTACAATCATATTAGTCTAGTATTGTATCATTTTCACTGGCTCCCTATTGGTTTCCAAGCCCAGTTCAACCTCTTTTTACAGGTATTAACTCTTTCCTGCTGAGGATCAGTAGGTGGCTATTCACAGAATCACAGAATAGTAGAGTTGGAAGGGGCCATGAAGGCCATCGGGTCTAACCCCCTGCTGTTCATGAACAGATCTTTCCAGTAGTTTAGAAAACACTCCCCATCCAGGTCCACTTGGTGTGCTGATGTCCAATTCTAGTGCTCTTTGTTATCCAACCTCAACACAGCATCGACATGCTAGTTTTAAATGTTCTAAGGCCTTCATATTTATAACTCTGAATAAAATCCAACTGAATTTTTAGAACCATTGAAATAAATGGAATATATTAGTTATGACTGATGGAGTCCCATTCACTGCTGTGTGAACCTTTCGTTGCAATCCAGGAATAGGCAACTTGTAGCCTTCCAGGTGTTCTAGTCTACAACTTGCAACATGCATCATCTTTGACTATGTTAGTTAAGGCTAATGTGAGTGAAAGTCTAATCAAGTGGAGGTCTATCAGTTGTCCACCCATTGTAATCCTTATAACAATCTTGTAAAGTAGGTGCAAATTAAAACTGTAGATGGTAGGCTGAAATTCAAAGAAACAGCTTTCTAGTAATAAATTATAATTCAACAACTTGGTAGAATCTCAACTTCCTATGTGTTCCATTTATAAGAGATATAACATACAATTATGTCTATAGCAGGAGTTTCTACATTAAGAAACCTTTGCTTTTTAATCCTTTCCCCTAAGATTTCTACCTACCCTGGACTGACAGAAAGATGAACAAGTTGGTCCTAGATCAAATCAAGCCAGAGCTTTCCCTAGAAGCAAAAACTATAAAACTGAGGCTGTCATACTTTGGACACATCGTATGGAGGCAAAACTTAGGGGAGAAGACAATGATGCAAGGAAAGTCGGATGCAGAAGTAAAGACAGACCAAATATGGAGTGACTCTATAATGGAAGCCACAGCTGTGAATTTAGAAAAGCTGAGCATGGCTGTCATGGGCAGGATATTTCAGAAGACATTCATTCATGGGGTCACCATTAGTTGGATAGCACACAAGATTTGTACCACAGCTCTATCCTTATCTTCAAGAACATAGTTAAAAGCTTCCATGTATTTTGTGTTAGCTGATGGACTCAAAGTGATTTCTCATTTATTGATATATTATTAATGTAATTATATGAGGTAGGACTTTGCCTACTGTTTCTCAGTAGCAAGACGAGTTACACATTTCCAAGAATATAACTGCAATTTTCTTCATGTGGTAGGAGAGCAGCATCAGAAGGAGAGTGCCTGTGTGCATGGATGCCAGTGTGACGTACTGCCTGTTTCAATGGCAAAGAATGTGCCTAGTGCAGA